GGGGGGGGGGGGTGGGGGGGGTATATGTGTGTGTCAGGATTTTTGTTCCACGTATACCCTTGGAAGCAGCTTTAAATTAAAATGAACACCACAAAAATATACGCCAACGCGCGGTTCGTTTTTTTTCACACGAACAAGAAAAAACAAAAAAAACTCAAGAAGGAAAAACAGAGGCTAACCCGGGGGATACAGGCGATCGATCGCGGCAAAAAAGGATGAGAAAGAAAGACACAAGAAAAAATGAAAGAGCGGAAAAGAGGCGGAGAAAACGAACGGAGAAAAAAAAGAAGACAGACACGCCCCCCCAATGCTCCAGTCTACCGGACGGAGCAATAACGAAACTGTGCACTACAACAGACCCTGTGTTCAAACTTACAATACTTGTATGAGTAGCTCATTTTTTTTTTCTCACTCCTGAAGGAAACTTCCTTGTGAAATCAGAATATAAAATCGGAATTTTCATGAGTAAATAACGCATCGGGTGAGCCTACATTTATGTAAAGTGATGTAAGCGCTAATTTAGCCGACGCGTACACTCTATTGTAGTATAGTCTACATGTCAATGTACAGCATGGTCATAGCAGGCAATACAGCAGTGCATGCACCACAGCATACTGTATCCTCATTGATAAATGGCTCGGAATGCGTCTTATCTCACCCCCTTTCTCGCACCCACCCCTCGATTCCTCGGTTTGGGAGGTGTTTCAATGCACACGGCAGGCATCAGTTTCGAGGCATAATGCGAAATCGGCTCTAGAGTCTTTGGTTGTTTCCATTACGCTCTCCCAAACAACGGCTACATACAATGCAACTATAAAAAGACTTTAGTTCGCCTATAAGGTGCAACAGCAAACTACGGAACACATATTCATAACATAAGTCATTGTCTACGCAACGTGCACCCACGCAACGCTGTACATCAATAGTAGCCTCCCGAAACAGTTCGTGGCCCTCTTGGCTCCCAATTCGACGCCCTGATCCTCCTGATGGGAATCCTCCAGGTCGAAACGATAGGCATCACTTGTTGGTGCCGCCGGAGCATCTCCGCCATCAAGCTCATCCTTCTCCTCGTCATCTACAGGCATGATCGTGGCTGATAGTGTGCGCGCTTTGGGGGGCGGAAGCAATAAGCGGCGAACTGCATGCCCTTGTCTTCAACAGGGTCGCAGTGAGTGGTGGCTGGTCATGGGGGGGTGGAATTGCTGGTGGTGCTTTCGCTTCTTCTCTTCCCGAACCTTGCGAAGATGCCAAGCATTCCCCGTGGCACGGCGCGATGTTCATCATGATGATTGATGATTTATGTCTTCAATCGGCAGACCACCCGCTTTACTTGTGTGCTTGGTGCACAGCACCCACCCGCTGAGAGATGTGTAACCCCGACGATTTTGCCTCTGTGTCCCAGCGGGTGCTCTCAGAGGATGAAAAATAAGGGGTATTATTATCAGGCCGAAAAAATACGTAACTTGTTTCACCGAATAGTAACTTTTTTCACGGAACCGTAACTGGGGTTTCCGGTGGTTCTTATCGGCAGAAGGCGCGAAGGCGCGTATTTTTTCAAAATTTACGGAAAGTGCCACGGCTCGACGTACACACACCGGTCCCGACCAGGCGAGAGACCCGAGGACTCCCACAACAGACCTGATAAACCCACACCAAGAACAACAACGCCGCTGCCATAAAAACCGCACTCGCCGATATTGACCCACTGCTGGGAAAGGTTGGCGGATCGGAAAAATCAGAGTGGTCCAAAAAAAAAGAGGAACACGCTTGCTTGCAAGACTGCTGAACACGACAGCAGAGCTTCTGGCCTCGCCCTCCACAAGGAAATGACCGAGTCCCACGCCGAATTCTC